TATGGGACATAAAATGATACTTGTGAAGAGTGTGCTTCTTAGCTCAAGTAGATACATGAGACTAAATGGGCAGCTCCTGTCCGGAGCTGAGATGAGAAGGTCGAGAGGGTCAGGAGCTGGTTGCGTGGACACGGGAAATTAGAGGTGGAAAGGAGCAGTGTGCTGTCACAGTATAGGGAGAGCAATTAGGGTCACATAACAATGTATGTATAAATTTTTGTATGAGAGACTAACTTAAATTGTAAAGTGTCACTTAAAGTACAACAATAAAATAAAATAAAAAAGATCTTTGTTTTCTTCTAGACTTATAGCCAATTGTGTCAATACCTTTTATTAAATAATGTATTCTTTACCACTGAATCAAAATGGTATTTTTATAATACAATGTGTTCCCACATTTATTTGTATGTTTCTGGACTCTGTATTCTGTTCCACTGATCTATTTGTCTAGACCTGTTCCTATTATCCTGTTTGATTATAGTAGGTTTTATAGTAAGTTTTAAAATATGGTGGGGTAAGCGTCTCATTATTATTTTTCTTGTTCAGAACATTCTTGGCAATTCTTGTATATTTATTTATCCATATGGACTTTAACAGTTTAGTCCAGTTCCAAAGGAACCTATTAGGATTCCCAGTGGAATATTATTATTATCGGTGGATAAGGACAGACAATTTTAGTCTATTAAGCCTTCCTTAATATAACGGAACATGATGTATCTTTTTATTTATTCATATTTTATTTAAGTATTTTAATAAATTTTATAATTTTCCTCATATAGGTTCTGTACCTTTCTTGTTAATTTTTGGTTTTATTCCTTTTGCTGTTTTGAATGGGCTCCTCTCTCCTCCACACCCCCTTTCCATTTCCAGCTAGATTTCTAGTAGTGGATTTCAGTAAATTTTTCTTGTAATCATATTACCAAATTGACTTATTAGTTCAACAGCCTTTTAGTGGAGTCTTATGGATTTTCTAGGGAGGCAATTATATCATCCGCAATTAAAGATGATTTTCTCTTCTAATAGATATACAAGTTGTTTCTTGTTCTTGACTTATTACACTAAATTCTTCAAAACAATATTGAATATTATTAGTGATAATGGATGTGCTATCTCATTTTCTATTTTAATGACAATGTCCCCAGTGTTTCACACTGATATGTCTTCTTTTTTATGATTAAAAAGTAATTGTCATCATGTTTAGATAGTTTCTTTGTTTCTATTTCTAGTTTACTCAGTGTTTTTTTAGGAATGGCTACTGAATTTTACCAGTTTTTTGACATTTTAAAAAATATAACCATGTTTTTTCCCCAGGTTAACATAATAAATTTTGTTAGTAGATTTCCCAATACTGAACCATTCTTGTATTCCGAGAATAAGCTCTTCAGAGTCATAATGTATTATTTTATTAACTCACTATAGAATTCTACTTGCAAATGCTTAATTTAGAATTTTTTAGTGTATATTCATAAATTAAATTGGGTCACAATTTTTTTTTAATTTTGAGGTTAATGTTGCAAGAGGCTTTCAATAAATACACAAGTGAATAAAATTTAAAAGATAAAGCAGCCAATTCAAAGTGCCCATATGCCTGGTCAAAATTAATGTCACTTATTATTAATAATGCACTGGGGATTCTGAATGATTAATTTAAAAGTGGAATTGAAATTTTCCCATGTAACAATGCCATTCCCCTTTACCTGAGTTATTATTTTAGACTTTATTCAATGTTTTATTGAGGAGAAAAGAAAGGATGGGGTTTACATTGTTGAGAATTGTGGAAAACGGGCACAGTCCTAGATAAACCCATGGAAGTGTGTTGTGGTTGTGAAAATGCAGGGTGGAAAGGTTGCAAAATTCTGTTCCAGGGTACCAGGAATTCTGATAGAATCTAACTATTGAAACAATTGGGTAAACTGAGTTGATAAAATGCAGGTGGCTGATAATTTTTAGAGCAAAGGTGTAATTCACTGCGAGCTTTGGGCTATGCTAAATCTCAGTAGTGACAACGTCTCATTTGACCCTCATAACAGCCAGTAAAGTTAAGCAGGGCACCCAGCTGCAACTATCTAATGAATAATGGACAGTTCAGCATCTCAACGAACAAGAAATGTTTAGTTTAGATATTCCCAACCTTGAGTTATGACTAAGCTTCCTCTCCAACCTCAAAAAAGCTACGTAGACTTGATTAGCTTTTATATTAAAATGAATTCAGACTAATTTTCTTTAAAAAAAAAAGTGGTAGACACCCCTTGAAATAAATGGAAGCACTCTGGTTTTAGCAAAGTCTATGTTAAAAATTGTATCTTTAGCCTCTTAACAAGGAAAAGAAATGACTTGTGGAAGCCTTGTTTTTCTGCCATCAGTTCCCCTAGGGAAAAATGATACACATATTTTTTTCCATAATCGTTTAAGGATTCCAGGATATTAATGGTGTGCCTAAATTGGCATACCAGCAAACTAGCTAATGAGGTACTACCAGTATACCTAAAATGGTGTACCAACAAAACAAAGTTGTGGGTGTTTAGAAAGGTGAATGGGATTTGTGCTAGTTTGTAAAGTGGACTCCTTCAGGCAGGAGCTAGCAACATCTTCAGGGGGCTGACCCTTAATATCTCTTAGTTGTATATCAGTTTATAGTTTACAAGTTTCCTAACACAAGATCTCAACTGATTCTCACAAAAGCTCTAGGAACTAAACAAGGCAGGTTATAATCATCTCAGTTGTTCACAAACGTGGAAACAAGTTCATCAAAGGTCAAGTAACTTGTCCTGGGTCACACAGCTAGTGAGTGACTGAGATATTTGAGAATTGCTCTGGAGTTGATTCCAAATCATGGTGACCCCATGTGTTAAAGAGTAGAACTGCTCCATAGGATTTTCTTGGCTGGAATCCTTATGGAAGAATTTCTTTCACGGTGTTCCTGGGTGGGTTCGAATTGCCAGCCTAGCTTAGCGCATAGTATAAGCTCATTGGATATTTGCTGACTGTATGAACACGTCTTGTGAGCCTATTTTAGAGCGCTTTCCACTGTACTATATATATGCCCAGGAGCCCTGGTGGCGCAATGGTTAAGAGTTCAGCTGCCAACCAAAAGGTCAGTAGTTCGAATCCCCCAGCTGCTCCTTGGAAATCCTATGCAGCAGTTCTACTCTGTCCTACAGGGTTTCTATGAGTCGGAATCGACTAGATGGATGGCAACAGGGTATATATGCCCAAACCATAAAACTTAAATTTGAAACCAGTTAATGAGGAGGAGACCTGGGGGATGGGAAAGGCTATGAAAAGATGGGAGACTAAGGGTGAGATGAGGGGCAGGGATTATTCCCTGGAGGACAAGCGAATGAGAGATAGAGGCAGCAGCTTTTGGAAATGTCAGTGTTTATTAAACATTTAAGGACATTTGGGGGTTTGAGAAGAAATATACAGAATGTAGAAAAATCCTAAGAATCCCCTGTGGCCGGGAATGCAGCCGCTTCCCTTCCCCTGCATTTCCCATTTGTTTTTTCTGCTTTCAGTTTGGTTGTTTAAAAGCAATTTCTTAAGGTTTGCTCACCCCCTCTTCCACCCCCTGACCTGTGAGGATCCACTGTCCCTCTGTCCTTCCCCAAGATTCATAGTCCCAGAACTGTGCTCCAAAAGGGTCAGGGGGCACCAGTCCTGTAGCTGAGGTTGAGCATCAGGGGCCGCACTGCTTGGGTTGGCTCTCCATCAAGGACTTAATGGGGGTGGGGAATTACAAAAGCCGCATGACGTCATTGGTCCTCAGTCATGAGGGGAGGGGCAGATCATGGGCACAGGTTAAAAAAAAAAAAAAGAATGGATTAAAAAATAAAAAATAATCAACAACCTAAATAAACCTTGAAGGAGAGTCTGATCTGGGTGATCTGGGTGTTAGCTGAGAGGACAGAGTATGGGGTTGGGCCACCTGATGAAGGGGTGGAGCAGACAGGAAAGGGCCAGAGGTTACAGGCTGGGTGCAAGGGAAGAGAATGCCAGGTGTGGGGCGGGGGGCATAATCAAGGTCCCTTTCTTCTCGGTGCCCAAGAGACAGGCACCAAACACACAGTCCTTGGGGCTGGAGTAGGTGGGTAGGATCAGGCTTTGGGCTCCCAGAGAACCAAGGGTTGAAGGTGGAGGAGAACATGAATGATTGGGGAATGGAGTTTGGAATGAAACTTACATCTCAAAAGGAGGAGAGAGGAGGCAGGGCTGGGGAGCATGGAAGGAAAGCACCTAGACGGGGGATAAGAGAAGCCTAGGTCCCCGTGTTCTGCAGGGCCTGGGGAGGGGGTGGTGATCACTTGTCCAAGTCCAGGCCCATCATGTTCTTCAGGGCATTCTTGAGGCTGGTTCTGCTGGGGGACTTGACAGCAGGGCGGAGATCTGAACTCTGCTCATCCTTCTGTAGCTCCATCTCGATGACCACCACCTTTCGAGAGGTTTTGGAGGGCTCCACCCCTGACCCCCGATCCCCTGCCCGGCCCGCTAACCGCTATTTCTTATCCTTGCGAGACTCCCCCAGCCCCTTGGACTTCTTTTCACTGGCAGCTTTGGTGCTTCTGCTGTGGTCCAGCATGGCATACAGGACTGGCGTCTGGGGGCGAGGGGAGGGATGCACACATCAGTCACCGGCCTGGGAGGGCTTAACTATTCCCACCCCACCCCTCACTGCTGCCAGGGTTCTCCTCCCCAGCTTGTCCAGGCCCCAAGTCCCACTAACCTGCCGGCCGCGCTTAGATGTATCCTTTCCAGGCTTATGCAATTTCCCCTTCTCCATGGCGCTGCAGGTAAAGGGGGTGCTATGAGTTTGGCTCCACCAGAGCCCGGGGCCCCTCACAAAGGGAACACAGCTTCCTTCTTCCTTTGGCCCTCTCACCCACTGGAATAGTCTCCGACCAGATGGGGGATAGTAGGGTTGGGGGCAGGGGAGTCATGCTCCGCCCCTTACCTGAGCCTCCTCTGTAGGGCTGCCTGCCTGCGTAGCCAGCAGTACCGCACCAGGTAGACAAGCGCCAGCAGCAACAGCACCACCCCCAGGACACCCCCGATCACAGCTCCCAGCACCACCCCGTACCTAGTTGGCACTGGGAGAGGAGGGGAAAGAAGTGAGAGAATGAACAGGGCCTGCATCTTTAGTTCCCAGCCCCCACACCTATTCCCTGCAGTTGAGAATGTAGGACGGCGCTGCTCTCCGCCCACCCTCCCAGAGTCTGAAGGGCACAAGGCCCAGCTTTTTGCCTCTTCCCCCAGCCTTTCTGTTCTGTCATCTCAAGGCCTTGGGCAACTTGGTACTGCCTCCCTGATCCCCGTCCCCCATTTTCTCTCACACCTTTTTCAAAGACGTAGAGCGTGACCTGAGAGGTCTTTCCCACTATGTCCGGTGGATTTTTGACGTCACAGGTGAAAGTGCCGTTGTCACTATAGTCCAGGTTGTGTATGACGATGGAACCATCCTTCCATTGAGGGTCCCCTACCCACTGGATGCGCTCTTTGAAAGTCCCCACCTCGTCGATATAGGGTTGCCCCTTGGCATAGTGGAAGATCTATGAGAAACGAAGAGAAGCATGTGAGAGAACCCTAGCGAGCACAGGGCTATCAAAGCTTAGCTCTGGCCTTAGGGTGAGGGATCCTAGGCTGGAGAAGGTGGCTGAGGAGTGTGGGGGGTGGTGGGAGGAAATTGTGTACATAGGCCCTGGCTGGGGTGACAAGGATTGCCACTTACCTTGACAAAGTTGAGGTTATGGCTCATAAAAGATTTCTCCCTCCTTAACCCAATTTCTCTTTTCTGTTGTTCTTTGAAGTACCCTTTCTGCCTCCTTGCCAGTTATCTGCCCCCAGAACTCCCCCAGGTGCTCACCGAGATAGCATCGCGGCCCCCTTCAGGCTGGTAGCGCCAAGTGAAGGAGATGTCATCCGAGACCCACTCGCTGGACCAGAAGGAGCAGTGCAGGGTCACCGGGGAGCCCACAGCACCATGGACCTCCTTGTCTGTGTAAACCACAATGGCCTGGGCAGGGGACAGCACTGCAAGCACAGAGCAGGGATCAGATACACTATTGGGCCACAAATGGACCCAACTGGGGATACAGAGGAACAGAGATCAACAGGAAGTCACTGAGTGACAGGTCAGTGGCCATAACAAAGTCTTGGGCAGAAACAATCAATTCTGAGGCCCAAATATCTCTAGACTAACTGAACAAATCCGTTGCCATCGACTGGATTTCGACCCACAGCGACCCTATAGGGTAGAGTAGAACTGCCCCATAGGGTTTCCAAGGAGCAGCTGGTGGATTAGAACTGACAACCTTTTGGGTGGCAGCCGAACTCTTAACCACTGTGCCACCAAAGCTAACTGAATAGATGAGTGTAAATGCTGTGTCAGGTCAAGTTTTTCAGCATGTTCTGTAGAGGAAATGAAATCAACAGTAACAATTCTCTTGAAAACTTCCAGAGGTTGATTCTATTTTCAAGTCTCACTTTCCGTTTGGGTCAGTATCTATTAAAGCTTTCCCTTAGGCACGAGCTTTAAAACTTATTTTTATCTATTATAAATTATACAGGCAAAACATTTTGCATTCGTCTATGAGTTATTCAAGCAATACAGATAAAGCTAAAGTCTCCCTTGACACCCTCCTCAACCAAGTCTCTTCCTGTAGTCCCCTCCCAGATATAACCACTGTTACCAATTTAGTGTGTATCCTTTTCTTAAGCATATAGATATCTGCAAGAAATAGATAGTTTTGTTCACTGGAATTTTCTTTTTCTTATATACATTGCATTATAATATATATATATATATTTTCTGCTTAAGAATATATGTATCTAAGGGTGTTTTCCATATTGATTCGTACAGACCAATCTTATTTTTAACAGTTCCATAGTAATTCACAGTATGGCAAACTCAAGTTTCAGGTAGAAAAATAATGGAGATAACTGGAGAATGTAAGTCTTCTTCCCTGGCCCAACTCTCCCTCACTGCTAAATCCTCAGTTGCCATACAGTTGCTCTTGACTGGGGGTCAGGGAGGGAAGGACCTCGCATCCCACATCAGCTGTGATGCAGAGCAAGGCCCCGAGCCCAGAACTCAGATGACTCTGCATGTGAGCCCTTTGTGGTTTGACCCTCCTCACCCTCCTCAGCCATTCTGGCCCAGTGCCACTCCCAAGACCCACCCACACAAAGAAGGCCATTCCAGGGAGACTATGTGTGTGGGCTGGGCCCTGGGTGGGGATGACTGTAGACCCTTTTGTTCTACAGGAGAGGGAGGGGGCGACCAATCAAACAGAGCCCCACTGTCTGACCAATGCTGGAGCTCATGCCACCTGTTTCCATGGTCCTAATCTCCCACCTCAGCATATAATATCATTGACTCACCTCCTGGGACCCCTGTCTTAGAGCCTTCCTGGGAATCCCAGATGTAACAAAGGAGGCTCTTCATTGGATCTTGTTTATGTTCCTCCCATTATAGTATGTCATTGCCCTTCTCACCTCTGCTCAAGGGTTCTATAAATGGGCCAGGTGCTGGGACAGAGTTCTCGTTCCTCCTTGAGCTCCAAGATTCCCTCTCCTCATTTCTCTCACCATGCCCTTTTCCAACTCCCTATCCTTAACATTTTCTCAGGATGCCCCAGAAGAGACCAGATGAGTCTAGGTTCTGGATTTAGGACTCAAGGAACTGACAGCAAAGAACCTTGGACATTTTGAGCAAGCTTGGCTCCTCCCAGCTTGCCTACTGCTCACCCATTGTGCTAGGCTTCAGGGCAGTTCAGAGAAGGGAGAATCCGTTCTAGTAACTTTACTTTGACCTTCTCTTGCCTACCCAACATCTGCCACAGGCAAGGAAACAGCTGGTCAATATATGAAAGAAGACAGTTTTAGAGGGCTTAGATCCCTAGAATTTCCCTTCTACTCCATTCATCCACATAATAGGAGATGGAACCACAGAGAGAAACCAAGGCACCAAGAAACATAGGATCCAAGGAGCTGGGACCACAAACCTTGGGCTCCTTGCCTTAGATGACACTCTCTGCCTTTTCTTTTCTGGGAAGCTAAGGTCAGGTACCACCTACATTCCTAGGGGATGAGTGGGGACCAGAATCTAGGAGTCTGATCCTGCTCCTTTCTATGTCTTAGAACTGCTTCCTACCAGGCTCTTGACATGGCTCCGTGGGCGCTTTGCTGGTCCCCAACCTGGGCCTAGCCATGCCCACCTCAGGGAAGTCTCTACAATCACTCTCTTCTACCATCTCTTTTCACAGAATACCTTTACTGCCTCCCTCTAAATCATATTTTTTCCTTTCTCTAAATATAATATCTCCTTCCTGCTCCTGCTTGCTCTTCCTTTGACTGCAGTGGGGGGAGCAGTGAAGGCAGCATTGAATAAAGACCCTGAGATGGGAAAGTTGCTGAGAGACCACCTGAGCTTCAGGGCTCCCAGACTGGGGTGGCTCCACTTACCCAAAGAGAAGAGCAGCACAGCCAGGATGGGGCTGGGGCTGGACGAGGGAGCCCCAGGAGCCATAGCTGGGGCAGGGGCTAGGGCCCGGAGCATCTGCGGGGTTGGGAGAGTGGGGGACAAGGAACTGAGCGGGGGTTTCTGGAACCCGCTTAAAATCCCCTGGGGCCCCAGCATGAGGGGGCTGTCTTGAGTCAGTAACCAATTGCAGCCTGGCATGTGCAGTTGAGAGGTGGTAGGGAGCGGGGCAGAGTGCAGGCAGCAGAAGGGGCATTGTGTGCTCTGGGTGGAGGGGTGGGGGGACACATACCACCCCATACACAGACGGCTTTGTGTCCACTGGCCTCCCCCTGCCCCAGGCTGGAATGTTGGGGGGTGGCAAGGGAAAAGGACAGAAAAAGGGATGCAGACACACTTCTCTGGGATGGATGGGAAAAGGAACCTGAATCCTAAGACCATGAAAAGGGATCCCCCCTCCCCTAGGCTTCCCTACAATTCTAGTTGCTAAAGGTGGGTTTCCCCCAGAGAACTCCAAAAACACGATAGCCCTTGTTAATCCTGAATATGTGAGCTGTATTACGAGCTTCTGGAGGTGATCAGGTCCTTTTGGAGTCATTTTTTCCATCTGTCTGAATCCTGGGTGATTCTTCTCAGATTCTTCTCAGAAAACTTCCAGGGAAGAAGCCCCTGATCTTTCCCTCTTTGTCAGGAAGTTCTTCAATGCCTCATGCTGCAGGTTAAGCCCATTTCAATTTAGAACAAGACAACAAAATCGTATTGAATGCCAGCTATACATAAGGTATGGGGATGGGGTAATAGCAAGAGGAATAAAAAGTAAGTCTCTCCCTCAAGGAGTTTAAATTCTAGTTTGGGGAGGTGGAGAGGGGAGGATCAGAGGACAACATCAACAACCAACTGTAATAAATATGATGCTTGCTATAGTAGAATAATAAACAAATTGCTGGAAGTACAAAGGAAGGCCCACACAGCTGCAACATCAGGAAGACTAAGTTACATAAGAGAGATTAAAAACAAAAATACATTTCATTTAATAAATGAAGTTCAGAGGAAGGGGTAGTTACATCTAGGAGGCAATATTAGATATGGACCAACCTTGAAGGATGAGTGCGATTCTGAAAAGAAGGAATGGGTAGGGAGGGTATCCAACTAGATGGAACAGCAAAAGTAAGGGCAAAGAGGTGATAAAGTGTGTGTAGGTTTGTAGAGTATTGTGCATATTCAGGGCAGATCTTGTGTCATCCACTTTGGCTTGATTTGGGGAAATCTGAAGGGGCACCATGGGAAGCAATCGTGAACAGGAACGTTGGAGCCAGTTTGTGTAGGGCTTGAAATGACATATTAAAAGGGTGGGTTTAATTTGGGACATCATAAGAATTTCCTGAAGGCTCTGGGGTGGGGGTAGGAATGGGAGTTCCTATATGGTTAGAGCCAAGTTTTAAGACAAATCTGGCCAGAAAATTCTTTCATCCCAAAGCTCTCCTGACTGTTGACTCTCTGTTTCCCACCTTGGGATCACCTGAAATAATTTTGCTCTTTACTGAACTTCCCATACTTCCATCTGGAATTGTTCTCCCTTCTCCCTTCCCCTTCCTTCACTTCCAAACCAAACCTGTTGCCAGGTCGATTCCAACTCGCGTTAACTGCCCCATAAGGTTTTCAAGGAGCAGCTGGTGGATTTGCACTGGTTAGCAACCATGTTCTTAACCCACCAGGACTCCTCCTTCACTTCAGGCCTTGACTTTTCCTAGACCCTGCTTCTCCCTCCTGTTACTTTTAAGTCGTGATGATAAGGGGCTTGACTTAATGTTTGGCCTGAATTTTAGTGTGCTTTATTTCCGTCAATTCTGAGCTCGAGGGGAGGCTACTGTGCTCCTGCTGCAGGACCATTGCAGGCTCACCCCTGAAGCCACAGACTCCTAGTGTCTTTCCTGGCATCTCTTTAGATCATAGTCCTGGTGGATTCAATGATTAATATTAGATTTGGGTTGTGGAGCTCTAAACATGGGGCTTGATCGTAAAGCAGAATCATCACCATCAACAAATGTTTACAAGATGTTTTAGTCAATATTTGGAGCCTTGGCATTCCTCTCTACCCCCACTCCCCAGCTGTAAGTAGTCACTTTTCTCCTTATCCACCCACCCATTTTTATTTATACCCCTTTCATGGGATTGCTACTTTATTTGTTGAATTTCTTTCTTTATGTACTGATCCTGCTATAAGCTTCTTGAGGACAATAGATGTGTCTGCATCTTTCTATCCCCGACAGCACCTTTCAGACTCTGGCAAAAGTCTATATACATTTGTTAAATGGGATTATTTAAAGAGCTAAGCGGAAGAGGTATTCATTGGGTTTGTTAATGTGAAGCTCCAGAGGGCCAAATTAGGATCCATGACTGAAGTTCAATAGCAGAAAACTATTTTGACATAACAACTTTCTACTGTTTAACCCGTTCACGAAATGGACCTTGTATTTTGAGGCACCCATCACTGAAGCTGTTGGAGCAGAGGCTTGAAGATCAGCTGTCAGAGATGTCGCAGTGGAGATCCCTGCATTGGATAGAAGATTGGACTGGAGAGCTTCTAATGTCCCTTTCAATCCTAAAATCTGTGTAAGTGATTTCCTCATCAAGCATTGTAGAAATGCAAAATAGTATCATTTATTTGATGTAGAAATAAATGAATTTGTGCTATTTAAATCCTGGAAGGAAAAGCGCTAAATGTAAGACTTGAATATTAATGTCACTGAATGTTTTATTGTACAATAGGAGTTGTTCTGGGCTACTCCCCCACCCCCACCCCAGAATAGGCTCAAGAACTTTTGCACTGTTATGTTCTTTTTTCAATTACTCTTATTTCCCCTTAAGTCGTAAGTGCCCTGCAATTGATTCCTGTGCTTAGGTTCCTCAAAACTATTTACATATATAATAAAAGCGGGTTCTCCCCCACCACCACCCCAGGTTCTTCAGGCTGTGGGTGTCGCCCACACAGCGCTGAAACAAGGAACAACAGAATGTTGTCTTTGGTTAGTGGGCCCCTAGTTCATGCGGCATCTCAAGCCGAGGAATTGTGGCGCATAAAGCTGATCGAGGTAGTTGGAAGAGACTCCTTGTGCCCCGGAACGGCGGTCTGTAAGGCGCTCTCTTTCGCAGCCCCTCCTTACATCCCCCAACTCGGGTCTCAACTTGTGCCTTTGTATAGGTGAAGCTTCACATTAAGAACAGGAAGGAGCCGGGTATCTTTCTCTCCGGGTGTCTCAGCCGACCTTTATCAAGACATTTTTAGGCAGACCTGCGCAGGAGGGAGTGAGAAACAGACTGAGAAGTCCTCGGTGAAGAAGCTGCGAAAGTCAGCTTTTCGTGCGATAAAAAATGAATACCTAAGCAGGTGAAATGCAGATTGCAGATTTTAAGCCAGCGGCAATTTTGCCGAAATCCTGGCAAATTTCGGTAGCAGCCAGACAAGTAAACCTTGGGAGGACACCACAAAACCACCCCAACAGACCCTCTAAACAGACTGGCGCGCAAGAGGCTCGCCATCCCTTTAAAGGGCCCCGTGCGGTCACATGACAGGAGCACCACCTCCTCCTCCTCCTCCTCGGCCTTCTGGGCTCTGGGACGCCTTGCGTCACTTCCGTCCAGTCCGGAATCCAAGATGGCTGCTCTCCTGCTGAGGTGACTTTAATGTGGGTGGGGCCGGGAGACGGTGCCGGCGGTCCTCGGGAGACCTGAACTGGCCCTTCAGGTCTTGTTGACAGCGGTTTAGCCTGTGACTGGGCAGGGGAAGGATCTATGGATGTGGAGGCCACGCGCTCTGGAACCCTAGGGGCGCCCCCCTCCAGCCACTTCGGCGCGCCCTTAGGGGTTACCGGACCGTTATCTCATACTTACTCGGTCCAGAGGGGTCGCGCAGCTTTCTCCCCTTGCACTTCCACCTCTTCTACCTCTTGCTCAAATTGTTCTCGGGGCCGCACTGAGAGCCAAGCCCCGAGAGAGTAAATAGCTCGACTTCGCGATCAGGGGACCATGAGTCTTACAGTTTCGAGATCTTAAGGGTGGGCCCCGGCGAGGTAGAACTTCGTGCGCTTTCCCTTTGCTTCCAACTCCTGCAAACACTAGCGGCTGCTGCCAATGGGGGCCCTGTCGGGGTTCCTAACGCGCCCCTGGCTGGACCCCTACGGGACGGGCGATTAGCAGTAGCGCCCAGAGCGGTTGCTCGGCTGCCGTAAAGCAGCCTAGGGAATTCCTTTTTTTGTTAATCTTTTGATTTGGTGGGGGAGTGAGTGTCCCAGTTTTTCTTTACGAAGTCAACTCACTGTCCGAAGAAACATGCTAGGTTTTCTTCAACTCTGAATTGTCCACTGGCTTCATTCTCTATTTGGAGCCTTTCTTGCCTTGGTAACTTTAGACGTTTCTGGTACAGCAGTTTTATGCCAGCCCTATTTTTGGAAACTATTCTTTATGGAAAGTTAGCTTTAATGCTGTTGAGATTTCGATTGCTGATTTTCCCACGTCTTCTCATTTCTCTTCTCGTTATAAGTCACCTCGTATACAGATAGAATGGCTTTGTTTAGTTTTTCTTTGTGACAAAATGATTCCTTTTGGATTTGAGATCAGGAACGGGTTCTCTTAACCCTTCATTTTCTGCGTCTCTCATCTCCACGCATCTCTTTTCCCCCCAAAAGTATGCTAAGGCCAGTCTTGCCAGAGCTGCCTCCTTGATTCCAGGTAGTTTGACCATAATTGAATGCTTTTTGAATTATTTGACAAATCATTTTGGTAGATGTCAGGGGCCTTTGGTGGCATTAACGTTTAACTTGAAATGATCATATTGGTTCCAAAAAATTCATTATAGGAGTTTCAGGATTACTGATTAGAAGAAGCTGAGGGTCATTTTACTCCATAAGTAGGTCCAGCAAGTTTCATTTTGAGTTGTGTAGAACTGTCACCATGAGAATTCAGTGCCATGAAATAGACTTCTTTTTGATTAGTGGTAATGGGATCTGAAGCTTTCAGGGGAAGGACACCTCTCTGTCCATTTCTCACAAGGGCTATTTTTTTTACCAGGAGAAATAGGAAATTAAAAAAAAAAATTGGGGGGGGGGGAGGGTAGAAATTCCCAGTCTAATTCCATCTCACTAGAGGGATTCCGAACTGTTTTTAATGCACTAATTAACCTTAGGGAAAATACCTTCTAAGAAATTCTAGGAGCTGGTTTCTAGCTCCAGTAGCATCACTAATTCCATTTATTTTGGACAAGTCAAGGTCATTGATTCTATGATGTGTTTTCCTTGTTTGCGAATTGAAAACAGTAATACTTGGGCCCACTTAAGAGAAATATGGGTTAAATATTTCTAATGCTGGACTAATTAAAAATTATTAATTATCAGAGCACTGTACACCATGGCTTTTGAATAGTGCTGTATATTGTGTGTACTCCCTGAGTAGTTCACAGACCGGGCAGAGATGGACAACCAGCTGATTGACACAAACTCCATTGGCACCCAGTCAAGGAATGACTTGCCAAAGCCAAGAAGGAGGTAGAGAACTAAGAGCAGCTAGATTTCTATATAATTACGTAGTAATGTTCATGCTGCTTAACCGCAAAATTACCAAGCGTTACTAGCCCTCTGGACAATGCACGTCATATTAAATGCTGTACGTGGAACACCTTCAAAGAATATGGTTTAAATTCATGAGACTGTTTTACAAAACAAGCACTAAAAAAATCCCCAAAAACAAATCTGTTGCCGTTGAGTCAATTCTGGCTCATGCGACCCCATGTGTTTCAGAGTAGAACTGTGCTCCACAGGGTTTTCAGTGGCTGTAACCTTACAGAAGTATATCACCAGGGCTACTCATTCACAAAGATTTTTTTTTTGAGCTTCTTTTCTGTGCCAGACATAGGTGCTGTGGATACAAAGCATTCCAGTTCTACCCTTGAAGAGCTCAAAGTCTTAACGGGAGATTGTATAAATAAATAGATTAATTATTAAGCAACAGAATGAATATTGATACAGAGATACGAACGAGTGATGTGAGAACATGACAGGTGCAGCAAATAAGGCTAAGGAATGGTGAAATTGTCACCCAGAACTTACTGGATTTTGAAGAATGAGTTTATCATGCTATGAGGGAGGTTCCAATCAGAACAGCACGAGCAAAGTTATGTAGTCATAAGAAGGCTTGCTGTAAGTGCATAATGTAACTGTTCAGTGTGGCAGAAGTATGGAAGGCTGAGAGGAATTTGTGGGAGAATATTTCTGGAGAGTTGGATTAGGGCCATGTTGAGAACAGCGTTGTTTGCCCACAATTTGGACTTTATGCCACAAGCAGTGGGGAACTGTTAAGAGACTTTTAGGCAGAAAAGTGACGAAAGCTTTATTTTTCAGTATGCTCGCTCTGGTGATATTGAATAATGGGAGAGATTGGTGCTAGGGAGATAAGTTCAAGAGCTCTTGTTACAGTCCTCCTGAGAAATGAAGAGGATGTGGACTAAAGGAATGGACTGGAGTGGAGAGAAGCGTCCTAGGTAGTATTGATAGGGTTGGGTGATCAGTACATATATATGCGAGATGAGAGGAAAGAAGAAATGAAGAATGACTAAAGTTATAGCTTGGGAATTGGTTGGGTAGCAATAGCATTAACCAGAACTTTTGTATCTAAACAGATGCTTTTCATCATATCCTTCAAGGTTGTATCTATTTTAGTGTTGCTGTTACCTCCAGACATTTATGAAACTTTTTGGAATACCATCAGATCAGGTTTAGAGGTCATATAAGAGAAATTCATTATCTGATAGTCACATCTTGTTTTGGACCAAAAATGGGTATTACACAGTTTGATCACATAGACTTGGCTTTGAATAACTTACTTTTTCCGGAAGTCAGATCCGTTCTCAGCAGATTAATATTTTTAATCACCATGAGGGTTTTTAAAAGAATGTGATATAAATTCTAAAGACCTTGGGGAGACCAATGAGGTAATAGTAATATCTTACATGTATGTGGTGTACTGCAGCTTAAAGACTGCTTTCATGTACATTTTCTTGTGTAATCCTCCCGGCAACCAATAAGGTAAGTATTATCAATCCCATTTTACAAACGAAAACTGAAGCTCGGTGACTTGCTCAAGTTACACAGCTTAGTAAGGGCAGATCCAGAACTCCAGTCTGGCTTTCTGACTTTGTCCAGTGTTCTTTCTACATTACTGTTGCTTCCCCAATCCAGAGAGGACTTCCAAAAACAGTTTGAGCAATTATTCCATTTCTGGGGAGACATGTATAACTTACTCAGGCACTTGGAAGGGAAAAACTCTAACTAGAAATTATAAGTTCTGCTTTGTTAATTAAAAATAAAACAAAAAAAGTACTATTACTTTCTAGCTGTAACATGTAAAGTACCATTCCTGGGTAGAAAAAGAAATCTCAGAGTTCCTGGCCTACATGAAAGGCAGGATAGAGAATTACTTTTGTCATGTTTTGAATAAGGTTATGGAGTCTGTGCAGCTAGTTTCTGTAAAGGCCTTGTGGAAAGTTTACATTGGTATTTGTCTGGGAAACAATAGCACCAGACAGAGAGAAAGCGCCATAGATTCCAACCCACATCCGCAAACTCTTGCTGGGTAGCTGAGTGACTGGGCCTAGCTTGCTGTGAGGAATGCGTGTCCTGCAACTTCACAGTCACAATTACTTCAATTGATTTACAGAGATTTGTTCCCACTTCTTTCTGGGAGCCTTGAGTACACAATGTCTGTATTCACCTCTTGTCTCCAGAGCTGGAAAGAGGGAACAGCTGAAGAAGGAGGTGTTGGTTAGATTCTTTCCTCCAAATAGTGGACCTTTCTAATGTAATGGTGTAAAGCATAAGGGACTTGAAATGTTGCATCTAGTGGTGCACCAATCTCGTTTCAGTGGTGTGAGAGACGACATGAGCTTCTTTAGAAGATCGTTGGATCTTAATGAGATCTTACATCCCCACAGTGCCTTGCACGTAGTGGATACGCAATAAACTTGTAGAATCAATGTATTTTTTATTTTTATTCCCAGAGCTTCACTCTGATAATCACCCTCTTAAATGTTTTTGCAAAGATTTGATACAATGATGTGACTGAAGAGATACAGTGATCATGCATTTTTCATAATACTGTGTAAACTTGGATCAGTTTAATTCTCCTTAAATAGAATACCTGGGCATATTCTTGTTTTTTAACTTGAAAAGCGGTTCCAATCCTGATGTATGCATTTCAAAAAGAGCAACTTTTTAGTAGAAAACTTCTGTGTCTTCTTTAAGTACCGTCTCATGAGGATGATAAAGAAAACTTGCCATTCTCATATTTTTTTGCGTTCTGTTATATGAGAGGCTTTTTGACTGAGACTTCATGGTAGTTCCGGAAATGACTTAGCTTAATGTTCAGGACCCTCCCTCCCTAAGCCCCTGGTTCTTCAGCCTTTTTACTTCATCCGTTTGCAGCAGACCTCTTTTGTAGCCAAGCTGTATGCTTGCTGTTGCTAGTGGCTTATTTATTTATTTTTTTTAAACTCATGTCTTTAACCATCAACTCCTTTAAGACCTAGCTTAAAAAAAAACTACATTTCTCTATTGAACATTACCAACTCTGATTATTCTTCTACCTTGTATTATTTGTGTTCAGTTAAAGCTTTATTTTGCATTTATAGATCATGTTTCTGATTATTTTCAAGTTATTTAGTGTTGCAGTATTCTAACTAGAAAATAATATCAAAAGCCTTGATACAGTCATTTTTTAAAAAATCTGTCCCTTTACCCTTAAGTCAAGGGTATTGGTGGTTCAGTGGCAGAATTCTTGCATTATGTATGTGGAGACCTCGTATTCTATTCCTGGCCAATGCACCTCATATGCAGTCACTGCCAGTCTGTTGGTGGAGGCTTGCGTGTTGCTATGATGTTGAAAAGGTTTCAGCAGAGCTGCCAGACTAAGACAGACTAGCAAGAAAGGCCTGACAATCTACTTCTGAAAATCAGCCAATGAAAACCCTATGGTACAATCTGCAACCAGTTATGAGGATGCCGCAGGACTAGGCAGTGTTTTTGTTTGCATGGGGTTGCCATGAGTTGGGCCAACTTGATGGCAGCTACAACAATTACTCTAATACAGTACAAAAATAAAACAAGTTGATATACTGACGTTGATCTCTAAATGTGCATTGATTCTTGATTCTCTTATCTTGCAGACATGTTGGCCGTCATTGCCTCCGTGCCCATCTCAGTCCTCAGCTTTGTATCAGAAAGTAAGTTTCTAAATCTGTGGAGATTATTGTTACTTAACTTTTTTTTCCCCTCAGAGAAGACCAATACATTGTTGACTTAGATTTTGGAGTGATATATACAAAAGCAAGCAGTTGTAGACAGTTGGCTGAAAATTGAGTGATTGTGGTCACTTTTTCTCACCTGGCAGTAGAAGAAGGAAGAATTTTTCTTTGGTCTTTGGTTAATGTTTCTCACTTTTAGCTCTTCTGTTTTATTTGACTTTGTTGATTTGCTCCAACTTTTTGATTCCTTCCTTGATAGAAATTCTCTTTTTTCCTTTCTGTTTTGTCTTTCTTCCTTTATGATTTTTTTCTCTTATGTCCTGTAATTTTGGGCAGCTTTCAGGACTTACTCTTTAAATTTATTTCTTCCCGCTATATGCATTCATAGTCTGTTGACTTTGATAACTGCCTCTGTGTCAGCAATCCTTTTTTTTTGTTTTTCTTTAACTTTTTAACTTGGTAGTATTTTACACTTTCAGAAATGTTGGAAGAATAGTACGATGAAGTTCTGTATACCTTTAACCGTGATTCATCGATTGTTAACATTTTGTGCTATTTGCTTATCACTGTATACTTTAGGTTGAATCATATGAAATTGTTGTTTCTGTAGGTCAAAACTGATGGAATACTGACAATTTAGTATCACTCAGCCTGATACATATTTAGGTATTGTTGGTATTTTTTAAAATCCTTTTGGAAGTAAGTTACGGACATTATGATCCTTTACCTCTCAATACTTCTCCCAAAAACAAGAACATTGTCTTACATAACACAGTATAATTTTCAGGAAATTTAACATTTATGTACTATTACACAATATACAGTCCATTTTCAGATTTTTCATTTGTCCCAAGTAATGTACTTTATAGAAATGCAGTCCCCCTCCCCCATTCAGGCTCACACAGTGTATTTAGTTGTCATGTTTCTTTAATATCCTTTAATCTGAAATGTTTCTTAGCCTTTCTTTGTCTTTTGTGACACTGACATTTTTGAAGAATACAGGCCAGCTGTTTTGTAGAGTGTCTCTCAATTTGAGTTTGTCTGATAATTAGATTTAGGCTATACATTTTTGACAGGAGTAATATGTAAATGATGTTTTATCCTCAGTATGTCATATCAAGGGGCATATAATGGCATTTGTCCCATTATCAGTAATTCTAGCTTTGATCATTTGAATGTCTGCTAGATTTTTCTCCACTGTAATGTTTTTCTTTTTGTAATTAATAATCTATGATGAGATATTTTGAGATTAAATATCCACATCTCCACATTTAAATAGATACATTATAAATACCTTGAGGGGATGGGATCATGTTTAATATAAAACCCATTGCCGTCAAGTTGATTGCGACACATAGTGACCCTGTAGGACAGAGTAGAACTGCCCCGTAGGGTTTCCAAGGAGTGGCTCGTGGATTTGAACTGCCAGTCTTTGGGTTAGTAGCCAAGCTCTTAACCACTGCACCACCAGGGCTCCGTATTTGAATATAGGTACACGATAAATTGTTGAAACTGCCTCTTTTGCCATGAGACCAGAAGAACTGACTGGTGCCCGGCTACCATTACTGAACATTTTGATCAAAGATTCTGTAGAAGAATCCTCATCAAAAGGGGAGGAATGCAGAACAGAATTTCAAATTCTAATGGACTCCAGACTTCATGGATCCATGGAGGATGGATGAACCCCTGAAACTATTGCCCTGAGATAATCTTTAAACCTTAAACCAAAAATATCCCCTGAAGTCTTCTTAAAACGAAACAGTAGTCTAGCTTAACTAGTAAAAAATGTCTACCTTGAGCATTATAATGCTCTTTTAAGAACTATCTGTATGGGATCAAATTGACAACAGCAACTTGAAAGACTAGATAGGAAACTTAGGGGGCAGTGAGTTTATGCTAATAAGGGGGAACAACTCAGAAAAGGAGGATGAGAATGTTTGTACAAGTGGAAGAATATAGTCAGTGGCACTGAATTGTACACGTAGGAACTGTTGAATTGGTGTACTGCTGTGTATATTCTCAGCAAAACTAACAACAAAACAGATAAAATTAAAAAAAAATTGTTGAACATTGCTGTTTAATAGTTGGTTTCAGCCTAGCCCAGTGACAAGGGAAACCAAGAAACTGTTTAGAGGTACTGAGCTGAATCCAGTTCTTGATTTTTGAGAACTTGAAAGACTGATGCTATAGTAACTAAAGTGCTAAAGTTGTAGTTATCACAGAACCCCAGGGATTTTGTATCTCCTCCTTTTGATTGAATAAAAATCTTTTATGCCCTCTGTAAGGATGTTAATTAGCTGTGTACTTTATGGGTCAATCATCAATACTGTTTACATTCTTGTACTAGGTAAGTACTGTTGTTGTTGTTGTTAGTTGAGTCTATTCTGACTCATGACGAACCCGATCCCACATACACAAAAGGCTGTGACCTTTCAGAAGCTGATTGCCAGGCCTGTCTTCCGAGGCACCTCCCAGTGGGTTCAAATTGCTAAACTTTTGGTTAGTAGTTGGGCACTTAACTCTTTGTGCCAACCAGGGGCCTATTAGGTACTGTAGGTAGGCAAAATAAAATAGCAGGGACATGATTATGGGAACATTTAGAAAGACAGGGGGCAGTAGATTATAGTTGAGAAGGAAGGAACCGCAAGCAAGGGTGAAACTGAACTATAGCTTAATACTTTATGACAACTGATAGGTCAGCTTTTGCCTTAAACTTACAGCTCCAGAGTTAGGGTATGTTAAACTGAGAAGTAGGTAGAATGTGTAGTTGTAGATGTTTAATGAATAATCTTTCTTTTCCTTAGCCCCAAAGTCAAACTAGGTGTTGACTCTGTAGTCATCTGGCTAATTCTTAGTTACTTTGGGTTTTCTTGGAGTCTTTTTTCTCTTTTTCTTCTCAAAGAGTCATGATCTTGGTCAACTCAAGAATTTGACAAGAGCCAGTCCTTCTTTGATTAAGATTAACTCTGATTTACCATATATTTTGTTTAATGATCCAAGGGGGACCCTCTTTGCCTGAAGTAAATTTGTCTAAGCTTTACTTTCCACTCATGCATTATGTATTTTTGTTCACGCATATCCTATCTGATACATTTACAACCATTGTTTCATGCATAGACTTTCCGTTTGAAGTGTTTTGGGACTTAATTTGTCAGAGGTTTGAATTTTTTATGTTTTGTTTTGTTTTTTCAGTAGCCATCTGTTATGGATTGAATTGTGTCCCTATGGTGCAAAGACCTTTATATGGCCTTTCTAGCCATGATCTTGTAACTCTTACCAAATGATTGGGTGGGACTATGCAAATAAGGTGCATGGCACCTTTGTGGGGGTGGGGCATGCAAATAAGATGTATAGAACCCTAACAAGGGGATTGGTTAGTTTTGCCATGCTACTAGTCTTAAAATGAGCCATCCCAGAGGCAGACAGGAGGGACCTCATGCCAAGAGGAAGAGACGGGAGCGAAACATGTCCTTTGGACCCAGAATCCCTGCACTAAGACCCTCCTAGACCTAGGAGACAGAGAGAGGAACTGAACACGGAAGACAGTGAGAGACAGTGGCACAGCAGTAGCAAGAACAATAGTGGCGTGGGACAGTAGGAACCAGGAGACTGGCAGGCGATGGCTGCAGTGGGGCTTGCCCACCCACAGAGCTAAGAGCTTTCTGACACTGCCTGAGTTGGGCAGAGGTGAGGCTAAGAGGCTGAGGGCCAGAGAGAGGCCTGTCTGTGTGCACGGCTGAGAAGAAGCTGTCCTGATCGGAGAACTGTATCCTGAGTCGTTTCTGATCCTTAGATGTACCACTTAACTAAGTATGGTTCATGAGTTCTGTGAGACGTTGCAGTGAATTACGGAACCCAAGGACCAGAGGGAGAGTACTGAGGGGAGGGGGAGTAGTTGATGTTAGAGATGATACAGCAGTTTGAAAAAGTTGGACACTGGGACATCTTTAACCTCCGCCTCATAGGGTACCAGCTTTGTGCTGATGCTTATAAAAGAAGTTATTCATTTAGAGTCCTAAACATATGTGTTACAAATCCTAACCTCTATGCCTGTGGTTATAATCCCATTTGGGAATGGGTTGTCTTTTTTATGTTAATGAGACAGGATTAGTGTAGGGTGCATTTTAAGTTAAGCAAGAGATGCAGAGATGCGGGAAGAGAGATGCCAAACCACAAGAAGATTGCCCAGGAGCAGAAGCTCAAAGAGAAGAGGACCTTCCTCCAGAGCTGACAGAGAGAAAGCCTTCCCTTAGAGCCAGCACCCTGAATTCAGACTTCTAGCCTCCTAACTGTGAGAAAATAAATTTGTTTGTTAAAGCCATCCACTTGTAGTATATCTGTTGTAGTATCACTAGAGTCAGAATCGACTTGATGGCAACGGGTTTGGTTTTTTTTTGGTTTTAGTAGCACTATATAACTAAGACACCATCTTTCCCTTTTGTAGTAACTGGTAGCCAGTTTTAGCACCACTGTTTTAACAGCTTCTTACAGGATGCTCTTATTTTATGCATCAAAGAAAGAAGTTAATAAACAATCCTGTTTCATTAATAGCATCAAAGGCCATATTTCTCTTTCTGAGTTATTCTTTTTTCCTTAACTTTACTCCAGTTCCAGTGATACTTCAATGTCCACATTTCCCAAATCTTACTTGTTTTTGTAGGTAGTTAAGTGTTATACAATGCAGACACATGAGTCACGGACAGTAGATTGGATAGTTGATACCCTTTTCTTATATTCTGTGACTGAAAGGAATATGAAAACAGAGTATACTTGGGGTCTGGAAATCAGGATTTATCAGGGCTTTTCTTGAAGCTGTGGTGATACTCATAAGTTGGCAGGCATGCCAACAAAGGAATGAGGAAAAGAGCCTTGAAGAGCCAGATGAGGACAGGTGATAACATATGCGACAGCACCTGTGGCCTTCGCCTTCGACAAGGATGATTCATTTGCAGAATGGTTTTAAAATGCTATACTTGCCCTGCTGCCCAACAAGAAGGAGGTTGGGCTTTCATTGCTAGACCTGTGTGTTAGGGGGTATTGGAAAGAAGAGTTAGGCTCTGATATGACCTCATTGGGTGATCAAGGTTACTAATAACTGAATCAAACTTGGCATAAAGATAACGGGAGTGTCTAAAGTCTTAAAACCAAATAATAGTTTAGCTTAACTAGTAAAGAATGTCTGCCTTGAGCATTGTGCTCTTTGAAGATCTATCTATATGGGATCAGATTGACAACAGCAACTTGAAAGATTAGATAGAAAACTTAGGGGTCAGTGGGTTTATGTTAATGGTGGTGGAAAACAACTCAGAAAAGAGGGTGAGAATGTTTGCACAACTTAAAGAATGTAATCAGTGTCACTAAATTGTACGTGTAGAAACTGTTGAATTGGTATATGTTCTGCTGTGTATATTCTCAACAAAACAAATTAATTTCTATATTAAAAAAAAAAAGGGAGTTAGACGAACATGTTTTCCTAATACAGTGGGTTGGTCCAGCCGAGCTTACTTTTTTTTGGTAACTTTTTGTTATGGAAATTTTTAAACCAAGCTTACTTTTAATTGTTTTGAAATGTTCGGTTTTATTTTAGTGCTGTTCCTTTGGGAACCACAGCCAAAGAAGAGATGGAGCAGTTCTGGAGTAAGAACACAGGTTCAAACCGTCCTTTGTCTCCCCACATCACTATTTACAGGTAAGGGCTCTGGATCCAGGGATAAGGGCTCTGGATCCAGGGAATCTAGAGGTGGAGGTTAAAAGTTTTGGAGATTGGCCCGTAGCCCCGCAGATATTCGCTCCCACTTGGTCTACTGGAGTACAGCTATGTAGATGAGGTGAACCCTTCAGAGAAGAGAGAGTTAACATAGGGATTAAATAGCCTCAAGCCTTTTTAATAAGGAGATAACTAAATTCTATCTTCTAGCCTTAGAAGGGAGTCTCTGGGTGGTGAAAATGGTGTCGACTACTAGCCAAAGGTTGGAGATTCAAACCCACCCAGAGTCGCCTCGGAAGACAGGCCTGGCAGTCTGTTTCCAAAAGGTCACATCCTTGAAAGCCCTGTGGCACAGTTCTGCTCTGCACACATGAAGTCTCCATGAGTCGGAATCAACTTGACAACAATAGCCTTAGAAACGTGATCTATCCTGGAAAACTACCATTTGGTAAATTCTAGTAAATCAAAATGTAATTTCTCATTAATTAAATTATTTTGAAGCAATTTCAAATTTACATAAAAGTTGCAGAAATGGTACATAGAGTTCCCTTATACCTTTATGCTGATTCCCTAGTTAATATTTCTGAAACATTTAAGAACATGTTGCAGAGGTGATTCCCCATTATTCCTGTATTAGTTTTCTATTGCTGCACAAACTTAGTGACTTTTTATCTTATAGAAGGTTAGAAGTGTGACACAGGCCTCAAAAATAAACAAACAAAAAACCATTGTTGTCGAGTCTATTCTGACTCTTAGTGACCCAGTAGGTCAGAGTAGAACTGCCCCGTAGGGTTTCCAAAGCTGTAAATCTTTACGGAAGCCAACTACCAAATCTTTGTTCCTATTTAGTCCAGGCCTCTCTTGGCTAAAATCAAGATGCTGCCAGGACTGTGTTCCTTTTTGGAGACTCAAGAGAATCTGTTTTCTTGCCTTTTCCAGCCTCTAGAGGCCACCCACATTCCTTGGCTTGTGACCTCCTTCCTCTAGCATTTCTGCTGATATAATATCCCCATGAACTTTGTGGGTCTCCTTGTATCTATGTAAGATTCTCCACAGACCTTTCCTAGATACTCCCATCTGAATTTTTACTTCTGCTGAGAGGGATGAGGGGATCTATGAGTCACACACAATCTCTTCAAAGAGCCTTTTGTGTGACTGAATACTCTGGCCTTAAAATGTAGAACAAAATTCAGACTCACAAAAAAAGACCAGACTTACTGGTCTGACAGAGACTGGAGAAACCCTGAGAGTATGGCCTCCTGACACCTTTTTAACTCAGTACTGAAGCTACTCCTGAGGTTCACCCCTCAGCCAAAGATTAGACAGGCCCATAAAACAAACGTAGTACACATAGCTCAGCCACGTATGCGAGACTAAATGGATACACCAGCCCAGGGGCAAGAATGAGAAGGCAAGAGGGAACAGGAAAGCTGGATGAATGGAAATGGGTAACCCAAGGTCGAGAAGGAGAGAGTATTGACATATCACGGGGTTGGTAACCAATGTTACAAAACAATATGTGTGTTAATTGTTTAATGAGAAACTAATTTCCTCTGTAAACCTTCATCTGAAGCACAAAAAAATAAGTTCCATGACCTTTTAATCTTTCTAAGGTATTAACAAAAGCTTGTACAGCCACACGTTTGACTTTTTTTCTCTTGACAATGAATCTCTCAGTTTTAGTGTCTTTTGCAGTCTGGAAACGCTGAAGAATTTCCCAAATCATCAAGTCTGTTTTTTTTTTTTAATGGTTCTTCCCTCAATCTTTCCCTTTCCTCTTGCATTTTACTGTATGCAAGAAGAAACAAGGCTGCACCTTCAACACTTTGCTTGGACATCTCCTCAGCTAAATGTCCAATTTCGTTGTTTACAAGTTCTGCTTTCCCCATTACCTCAGGATACAGTTCACTAAACTTTCTGCCACCATATAACAAGGATCTCCTTTGTCAATTTTCCCATAACATATTCGTCATTTCCTTCTCAGCCCTCACCAACAATGTCTCTAACATCCATATTCCTACCAATAGTCTGTTCATGAAGATTTAGGTATTCTTTGAGGTGATACGTGTTTTCTCTGCCATGCTCCTCACCACCTTCTGAGTCCTCACTAGCAGAATTGTTAACATCCATTTTTCTTTTTTAAACAGCTTTATTGAGATACAATTCACATACACACACTTTACCTTTTAAAGTGTATAATTTAGTGACTTTTAGTGTATTCACAGAGTTGTACCATCATTACCACGATTAATTTTAGAAGGTTTTCATCCTTCACAAAGAAACCCCGCACCCCTTAGTTTCAACCTCCCCCCGCAAACCTCCTCTCATCCCCTAGCCCCAGGCAATTGCTAATTTACTTTCCATCTCCATAGACTTGCCTATTCTGGACTGGTTTTTTTGTGCTTTAAGTGAAAGTTTACAGAGCAAATTAGTTTCTCATTAAACATTCTGGACATTTTATGTAAAGGAATCGTACAATATGTGGTCTCTTGTGACTGGTTTCTTACGCAGCATAATGTTTTCAGGGTTCATCCATGTTGTAGTTTGTGTCGGTACTTTTTTCCTTTTTATGCCTGAGTAATATTCTGTTATATGGGTATACCACATCTAATTTATCGGTTCATAAGTTGATGGGCATTTTTGTTGTCTGCATTTTGATTATTATCAGTAATGCTTTTATGACCATCCATTTACAAGTTTTTGTGTGGATGTATGTTTCATTTCTCTTTGGTATATACCTAGGAGTGGAATTGCTGGCATGTGGTCACTTGGTGTTTAATATTTTGAGGAACTGTCAGACTGTTTTCTAAAATGACCGCACCATTTAATATTCCGACCAGCAGTGTATGAGGATTCCAGTTTCTCCACATACATGCCAATACAATATCCATATTTCTGCTAACAGTGTGTTCAAGGCAATCTAGACTTTTTTATCATGCTCCTAAAAATTTTTCCTCTTCTCACTGCCTCATTCCAAAACCACTTCCTCATTTTTAGGCGTTCCATCAGCACTCCTCTTCAGGTACCACAATCTGTGTTAGTTTTTATTCACTGCCGTAACACACTGTTGCAAATTTAGTGGCTTAAAACAACACAAGTTTCTTCTCTTTGTTTTTTTATTGTTGTAAGAATATATATAAAACGTATTTGCCAATTTAATGTTTTTCATGTGTACAGTTGTGGTGTAATGGATAGCTTTTATGTGGTTTTTCTTGCCATGGTCTTGTAACTCCCACCCAAGTGATTGGGCAGGACTGTGCAAATAAGGTAATTGTGGCCCACCAAAGGGATTGGTCAGCTTTGCCATCCCTCTAGGCTTAAAATGAGCCATCCCAGGAATGGGAGGAGAGGATCTCACCACCACCAAGGAAGAAGGGCCAAAGGCAGAGCGCGTCCTTTGAACCCGGGATCCCTGTGCTGAGAAGCTCCTGGAACCAAGAGACCTAGAGACAGCGAGAGCTGTAACAATGAAGACAGTGAGAAACGGTGGCAGAGAAATGTTGACAGGAGACTGTGTAGTGGGCTTCCTGGCCCACAGAGTGAGAAAGCTGAATGCCTTTGGGCAGGAGGCTTGCTGGAGGAGTACGGTACCTCCGGGCACTTGGTGGAGCTAGGTTAGCTGGCCCCCGGAGTTCCAGCTGAGCACCTTCAGGTGCAGTGGGGTGCCTCCAGGCACTTACAGGCAGATCTAAAAGGGTTTTGTAACACTTATCTGAGCAGGGCAGAGGGCAGAGGCCCAGGGGGCAGAGAGAGGCGTGCCTACAGGCACAGCTGAAAAGAGGCTGTCTTGATTGAAGAACTGTTTCCTGAGTGTTCTTGAACCTGAATTGTAACCTGTTACTTCCCCATGCATCTGTTAGTTTGTCGTACTGTGGTGGCTTGTGTGTTGCTGTGATAGTGGAAGCTATGTCACTGGTATTTCAAATACCAGCAGGGTCACCCACGGTGGACAGGTTTCAGCGGAGCTTCCAGACTAAGACACGAGGAAGAAGGACCCGACGGTCTACTTCTGAAAAAGTTGGCAAGTGAAAACCTTATGAATAGCAGCAGAACATTGTCTGATATAGTGCTGGAAGATGAGCCCCTCAGGTTGAAAGGCACTCAAAATACGACTGGGGAAGAGCTGCCTCCTCAAAGTAGAGTTGATCTTAATGACATGGATGGAGTCAAACTTTTGGGACCTTCATTTGCTTGATGTAGCATGACTCAAAATGAGAAGATACAGATGCAAACATCCATTAGTAATAGGAACGTGGAATGTATGAAGTATGAATCTGGGAAAATTGGAAGTTATCAAAAATGAAATGAAACACATAAAGGTTGATATCTTAGGCATTAGTGAGCTGAAAAGAACTGGTATTGGCCATTTTGAATCAGATAATCATGGTCTACTAGGCCAGGAATGACAATGAAGAGGAATGGTATATTCATAGTTAAAAAGAATGTTTCAAGGTCTATCCTGAAGTACAACACTGTCAGTGATAGGATAATATCCATACGCTTACAAGGAAGACCAGTTAATTCGACTGTTATTCAAATTTATGCACAAATCACTAATGCCAAAGATGAGGAAATTAAAGATTTTTACCAAGTTCTGCAGTCTGAAATTGATCGAACATGCAATCAAGATGCATTGATAATTACTGGTGATTAGAATGTAAAAGTTGGACACAAAGAAGAAGGATCTGTAGTTGGAAAATATGGCCTTGGTGATAGCAACAATGCCGGAGATCCCATGATAGAATTTTGTAAGACCAACAACTTCATTGCAGGTACCTTTTTTCACCAACATAAACGGTGACTATACACATGGACCTCGCCAGAAGGAATACATAGGAATCATCATATTGACTACATCTGTGGAAAGAGACGGTGGAGAAGCTCAATATCACCAGTCAGAATAAGGCCAGGGACGACTGTGAAACAGACCATCAATATAAGCATATGAAAGTTCAAGTTGAAGCTGAAGAAAATTAAAACAA